TAGGAATAGTTTTACTTTATTATCTTACTAAGGAATTATCATCACATCAAAAGCAACACAGCTGGTCTAACAAAGCAGCCAGACCCAGAGGGTAGGCATGACCCAGGAGCCTGTGGGTACCACTTGCAAGTTTCTAGATAGTTTCTACTTCTGTGATGTCCACAAAAGGCTGAGAATTCCCTATGGCATCTTTGGGGGGACACTGGGATGTAAAGAAGGGCCCTCGTGGATTGAGACCGTGAGCCAAATGGCCAGGAATGCTAAACTTCACCATGAACTTCAAGTGCGGACTGGCTTCGGGGCTGGATGTTTATTGAAAAGGCTCTAATTGGGCTTCCCTGGTGGCGCAGTGCTTGAGAGTCCGCCTGCCGATGCAGGAGACGCGGGGTCGTGCCCCGTTTCGGGAGGATCCCACATGCCGCGGAGCGGCTGGGCCCGTGAGCCATGGCCACTGAGCCTGCGCGTCCGGAGCCTGTGCTCCGCAAATGGGAGAGGCCACAACAGTGAGAGGCCCGCCTAACGCAAGAAAAAAAAAAAAAAAAAAAAAAGAAAGAAAAGGCTCTAATTATGATTCCTCACCCTCCTCTCTCCTGTAGTGCTGGCTGCTTCTCCTCAGTCCACCCAGCTGCCCCAGACTCTGCCATTCGTGTTTAGGCAGACATTCTCTCTCTTTCCTCCCGTTCTCTGTCAGACTTCTTGGAAAAGTCATCTCTACTTTCTGGCATCCATAGGGTAGCATCCTGCTTCTATCATCATCAACCAAAAAGTAGACACAGAAAAAGAAAAACCCACTCTATGTCTTTCTTCATTTTATTTATATGGTAAAATAGCACCAGGAAAATTTCCCATGGTGGAAGTCCAAGATGTCACAGGGTTGAGATCTTGGAAGCGCTAGGGTCTAGCCTTCCACACTGAATTAGAATTCCAGATCCTGAATGGGCAGCCTGAGGACTGTAATGGAACCTCAGCAGTAATAAACAGCAGTCGTGAGATGAGTGGGGAAGCTAGTTTGGGTCAGTAGCCCTTAAAGCATATAATGAGGAAGATATATCCTTCAAATAAAATTCAGTCAGTAAAGACCATAGCTTAATTCTGTAGCATACAACCTGTGTTGGTATCCTGCCCCCAACCTATGTGAGTATAGGGTCATAGAAAGTCCTAGTGCAACTGTATAAGCGTTTGAAGGCAAATTGTCTAGATAGATAGATAGGTAGATAATACTGTGATATATAATTTTTAAAAACTTGTAATTTTGTAAAGAGAATTTTTTATTCATATGGAGACAATTTTATTATATTTCTAAAGAATTATACTCAGTGCTAGCTGCTGGGTCTCAAGAGGGACACTGACAAACCAGGATGGTTTCCAGACCCTTTGCACACATCCTAGTCTGTCAGTGTCCTATGAATCCTGAATAAAAGAACTAGGCATATGAAGCTAAGTCCAGAAAGCAGAAGAAAAGGCGGGCTCTCTCTTATGTCAGGGGATATTTCCCCAAGACCACAAGAAGCTGGCTTTGGGACTTGCACCTCTCCCCCCATCCCCTTTCCTCCTTAACCCACCGCCTCGACTCTCTCCAAAGTAGGAAAATAGAGGGCTTCCCTGGTGGCGCAGTGGTTAAGAATCCGTCTGCCAATGCAGGGGACACGGGTTCGAGCCCTGGTCCGTGAAGATCCCACATACTACGGAGCAACTAAGCCCGTGAGCCACAACTACTGAGCCCATGTGGCTAGATCCCGTGCTCCACAACAAGAGAAGCCGCCGCAGTGAGAAGCCCGTGCGCCGCAACAAAGAATAGCCCCCGCTCACTGCAACTAGAGAAAGCCCGTGCACAGCAACAGACCCAACATAGCCAAAAATAAATAAACTTATTGTAAAAAAGTAAAAATAAAAAGTAGGATAATAGAGCATCAAAGGAAGGAACTCTTGTATCTCAAAGGGTCTTTCTTTTTCTAGGGAGGCACTATTTCCCATACAACAAACCGGGGAAACTAAGGAAGGCTAAGGAGAAAGACAAGGTGGCAAAGACTGTCTTCTGCTACTCACACAGCTCTCGCATCTCTTCCCCCGTGTCCTTGACTCAGTAGCTCATGCCGCCCTCTCTCCCTCTAAATCTGCTTCTGGGGTGCCTCACTCAACCTGCCTCTCAAGTGCCTCATTCTCCAGAGTCACTTATTTCTCCAACCTGAATATTGGAGACCAACTGCCAGAGCACACACCCTAATCAGCACATCAAACTTAGGTATAAAGAACAATGACAAGAAGAGATACGGAGCAATGTGATATTCTTATCCAAATGTGAGAATCTGACTCAGATCACCTGTGGTAGAACAATTTGTTGTTAAGATCACGTGGGAAAAAAGAATATGTGGAAATTGAGAGCATGAAAGTACTTCAAAGTCATTTTGCGAAGTGAAAATTAAAAGAGTACATAATAAATAATAGAAAATAGCGATATCACTAGAATGTTAAGTTTCTTGAGGAGCAAGAACCACGTCTGTTTTGTTTCATTGTGATACATATAGAAAGATACCTGTACATATATAGAGATATCTCCCAGTACCTAGGAAGATGCCTGCTGTGTAATGATGTTAAATATTTGTTTTCTGATTAGCTGGTTAAATTGCTGATGTAGTTTCAATTTAATGGTTTGTATTTGCAATGCTCAGACATCAACTTTATTTTATTGTGGATTATTGCATTTTTATTTGCTCCTCCATCTAAATATTTGATGCTTTTTAAATTTTATTTTTGAAGTCTCCCATTTTCCACATGCCATCAGGATCCCAGAGATGTAAAATACCTTGGATACTTGTGGTAGGAAGCGATGTCAGATCACCTTTATCTGACCTGCTCCTTTCACCAAAGCTAAATAGCATTTTTTTTTTTTTTTTGCGGTACGCGGGCCTCTCACTGCTGTGGCCTCTCCCGTTGCGGAGCACAGGCTCCGGATGCGCAGGCTCAGCGGCCATGGCTCATGGGTCCAGCCGCTCTGCGGCATGTGGGATCCTCCCAGGCCGGGGCACGAACCCGCGTCCCCTGCATCGGCAGGCGGACTCTCAACCACTGCGCCACCAGGGAAGCCCTAAATGGCATTTTAAAATCACACCTCCTACTCCAGCAATGGCATAGTTGAACAGCTTTAGCTCAGCCTGTGATAATTGCGTGTCCAAGCACACGTTTCTAGTCCATTTCACACACATCTCATTCTGCTGCTTCTCCATGGCCTTTGCTTTTGCCTCCTCTTCTAAATGTTGGCATTCCCTAGGTCCTCGTCCTCGTCTTGCTTCTCTTGTTCCTCTATTCTGTCTCCCTAAGTGATCTCTCCCATCCCTGTGGCTGTAAATACCAAATACACACTGCTGGATCCCAAATACATCTCTCCAGCTTTGACTTACCTCTTCAGTTCCAAATCCATATGCTCAATCCACTACCTGATATTTTAATTGGAACACCTTACAGGTAAAACAAGTAAACCGTTTTAGTAAGTCTAACGTGGAACTTCTGATTTCCATTTCTCCTTTCACCTCCGCCCACAGCCAGGTCCCTTCTGCTTCTTCCCTAGGTCCACCTGTGGCCCATATAGTACATAAGCCTGCATACAGGGTACTGAATATTGTAAAACCACCCAACAGACTGCTCAAACCAGGGAGCCATCTTGGGTTCTGACCCACTTCCTTACCCTCCAACACCAATTCACGAGCAACTGTCATCGTTTTTACCTCCAGATTAACTCTTGAATCTGTCTGCTTGTCATCAGTTCCACTCCTCACACCCAAATGCAAGCTGGCACTGTCTCTTGTCAAGACTAAGGCGACAAACTACCCCCTGCTACCGGTCTTGCCTTTTGACAACTAGTCTCCACACAGCAGCAAGAAGCTCAGAGTGTCTTCCCTCTTACTGGTCAGTGGGCATGGACCCCACTGTTTTGGGAATACAATAAAAAGTTGTCACTGTGACCTGCCAGGCCTTGCATGAAGTGTTCCCTCTCTACCTACCCACTTTCACTGATGCCCCCTCCCACCTCCCTCCCCAAGCTCATGCTGTGCCCCCATACATGACATGACGTCCTGGCATCTCATAGCTCCTAAAACAGGATGAGTGATTTTCTGTGCTCCAGCCTTGGAAACTAGTGTTTCCTGGACCTGTGATACTCTTCTCTAAGCCTTTGTCTTTTTGTTTTGTATCCTTTCTGTTATGACAAGTTACAGACATGTAACAAACACTTATGTACCTACCACCGAAAATTAATGACTTTTAACATTTCACCATTTTCCCTCAGATGTTAACCCTACAAGAATGGAACATATAAAGCCCCTTTTGTTCTCCTTCCCCCCGTCCCATGCCCCTTCCTCCTTCCTCAGAGTGAGTGATGGATGCTGGCGGGTCCTTTCCCTGCACCTACTTCCGCCTCCTTCTTTTTGACCCAGCCCAGCACTCACATCCCGGCCTCCCCCAACACCCTCATGTGTTTCAGCAAAAGCCAGCAGTGGCCCGATTGCGGCCAAGGAGACCGGAGGGCAGGTTTCCTGGAGGCTGTGCTTCATTTTGCCCCAGGTTCCACGCTGGGAAGACTGGGGCTCTTCCGGAGGTTGCTTCGCTCTGTATCCTGCCCTCAAGGGTTTGCCTTAGACAGCGGGACCCGAGGAGCCACGCTCTCTGAATTTCTCATCCAACACCAAGGCAGGAATGAAACCATGTTCTTGTTTGTTCAGTCCTCATCATCTGTCATCTGCTTATCTCGCATATCTGTCTGCTCAAAACGAAAACCAACATCACATCACAAATAGAAGAAATAACTTTCTAAATGTCTCCACCCCGCTCCTCCCCAAAAATGAAAGAAAAAGGATTTTTCCTTCTTTAATCATGTTTTGGTTGGTGTATTATTTGACTATGATTATATGTGTTTATACTCAGTGCTATGAAAAACGTACTTAGACAAGCTTAAGTCTCCATCACACACAATTCAGAACTGACCTGTTTCTCCTCTCTGCTTGCAGGTTGCGGTATGTTTACTCTCCTGTCATCTGTCACGGCTGCTGTCAGCGGCTTCCTGGTGGGGTATGAACTTGGGCTCATCTCTGGGGCTCTTCTGCAGATAAGAACCTTGTTAGCCCTGACCTGCCACGAGCAGGAAATGGTTGTAAGCTCCCTCCTCATCGGAGCCCTACTGGCCTCTCTCATTGGAGGGGTGCTGATTGACAGGTGTGGAAGAAGGGCCGCCATCATCCTGTCGTCCTGCCTCCTTGGACTTGGGAGCCTGGTCTTGATCATCAGTTTATCTTATGCGGCTCTCATAGCGGGACGCATTGCTATTGGGGTTTCCATTTCACTCTCTTCCATCGCCACGTGTGTCTACATCGCAGAAATTGCTCCCCAACACAAGAGAGGCCTTCTTGTGTCGCTGAACGAGCTGATGATTGTCATTGGCATCCTTTTTGCCTACATTTCAAATTACGCGTTTGCCAATGTTTCCCACGGCTGGAAATACATGTTCGGCCTTGTTATTCCCTTGGGAGTTTTGCAGGCGATTGCGATGTACTTTCTTCCTCCAAGTCCTCGGTTTCTGGTGATGAAGGGACACGAGGAAGCTGCTAGCAAGGTTCTCGGAAAGCTGAGAGCCATCTCCGATACCACGGAGGAACTCACTGTGATAAAATCTTCCCTGAAAGATGAATATCAGTACAGTTTTGGGGATCTGTTTCGTTCAAAGGACAACATGAGGACCCGAATCATGATAGGCTTAACATTAGTATTTTTTGTACAAATCACTGGTCAGCCAAACATATTATTCTATGCATCCACTGTTTTGAAGTCCGTTGGCTTCCAAAGCAACGAGGCAGCCAGCCTCGCCTCCACAGGGGTTGGGGTTGTCAAGGTCCTCAGCACCATCCCGGCCACCCTGCTTGTAGACCATGTCGGGAGCAAAACCCTCCTCTGTGTCGGCTCCTCTGTGATGGCAGCTTCATTGGTAACCATGGGCATCGTGAATCTCAACATCCATATGAACTTTACCAATATCTGCAGAAACCATAGTCCTATCAACCAGTCTTTGGATGAATCTGTGCTTTATGGACCAGGTAACCTGTCAGCCAGCAATGACACTCTTAGAGAATCCTTTAAAGGGATGGCTTCCCACAGCAGAAACTCACTAAGGCCCATGAGAAATGACCTGAATAAGAGAGGAGAAACGACCTTGGCATCCTTATCGAATGCTGGACTAAGCCAAACTGAATACCAGATCATCACAGACCCTGCGGACGTCCCAGCTTTTTTGAAATGGCTGTCCTTGGCCAGCTTGCTTGTTTATGTTGCTGCATTTTCAATTGGTCTAGGACCAAGTAAGTATTTTATTTTGTATTCCTTCCCTCTCTCCCCTTATGAATGCTATATATTATCTTTGGCCCGTCAGAGCATCCTACTGCTACAGTACCTTATACATGGAACTACTAGAGGGAAGATGGGGATGATATTGGCCACCTGATGTTTCTGCTAATGAGGAAAGTATGGTTGGCTTATATCTGCCTTGTGAAATGCGCAGAGCTAGTATTCAACCAAGGATTAGTTTCCCATCATCTGTCACATGAGGATACTTTAATATCAGTTGATTAGGAATGAATCAGACCTTGAAAGATATTTGTTGCTCAAGAGAATATATTGTTTTATGAAAACAAAGTTTACTGGGACATTGTCTTCTGTATCATTCTCTACCTTCATCATAGGTGCAAGGAAAAAAATTGTGTTTAGATTTTCCTAAAGACACAATAGTAGATGCATTCCAGTAATAACGAAGAAGAAGGGAATTAAGAAGGAATTATTATGGGAAGGATAATGCATTATTGAAGTATATTTGATCGCTAGAGTAACCTCCTGGGGCACTTTACTCTACCTATGAAACGGGACAATGGGAGTCAATGCATTCCCATTGAACATAGTACAAACAATCTACAGGGAGGTAGCTACAAGGTTGTTTTATTTGATATAGTCAGTCTATTGCAGTGACAAAGTTTAATCACTTCTCTTGAGCAAACTCGAGTTTGCTAGAACAGGTCGTTCGTTGCAGTTCTTTCATCTTTTAGCCTCACATCCAAAGTCTAAACCTCTCTGTAGGGAAGTTGTGAAGGGTCTTTTTTACGCCTCACTAGAAAATGATGTGCTTAAAAATCAAGGGTAGCCTCTCTCTACCACCCTCAACTCCTACCTGTCACCTCTCCCTCCCCCTCTCATTCCTCTCCATCTCTCTCCCTTTCTTCCTCCTTCCTTTCCTCTCTTACAGAGTTGATATTGAAACTTTTGTTTACAATGATCAAGGAGCAGACAAATTTGCACCCATAAAGGGAAGTGCTGGAGGTTCAAGAATAATGAGAAGACTTAGGCTGTGTTGAAGGAGAAGGAATCTCATGAACACGTGCAGGTTTCTGGTGCCAGACGCTGGACAGTGTTTCTGGAGAGGGCTTGTCCTAGTGATCCACCCTTAACTCTTGATTCAAATGATATGTACCCAGTGACTAATTGTTTTAATAGCCAGGAACTATGCTCAATATTAGGGAAACAGTAATGAACAAGGCAGATACTGTCCCTGTCTTCAAGGAGATTTTGGTTGAATGGATTGAGCTATACTCCCTGTGTCTGCTTCTTTCTGGTCAGCCACCAGCAGGTTTGGCCTGCTTAATCTCAGTTAATTAATAACTGGACTTGCACATGGCCGATACGGCCTCTCCTTCAACTCTGCTTCCTCATCTTTTAGTTTCTACTCCTACGTCTATGTGAGATCAGTCTCTAGATACTGATTCATTCAAATTCCATAGAGGGAATCTGATGTAAACTGCTTTTTGCTGTGCCAGGTCATAAGGAATTGTTTTAGTCTAAGCAGCTATGGCTAGATTGGACTACATGATCTAAAGCACTGATATCTGGAAGATGGCCCTTCCTTTCGCACTATGAGTAGACAGATTTCCCCATAAGGGGTTGTGCATGGGCAGATAGAGGAAATGCTACAATACCATCAACCTCTGCTCTCTCTGACCTGTTCCTGGACCCTGACCCTGCTTCTTAAGACTGAAAGTGATAAACATCATTAACGAATAGTTTCCTGGAGACAGGTTTCTACCATTCTTTCAAGATTCAATTATCTTGGGTGTGCACCTGTGAGACACTTGTTTTAATCAGTTTGGATTGCCATGGCTTAGAGAACAAACATTTATTTCTCACAGTCTGGAGGTTGGGAAGTTCAAGATCAAGGTGCTAGGAGATTCAGTTCTTAGTAGGGCTCTCTTCCTGGTTTGTAGAGGCAGAGTTTTTGCTGTATGGGACAGAGAGAGAGAGAGAGAGAGAGAGAGAGAGAGAGAGAGAGAGAGAGAGAGAGAGAGAGAGACAGAAAAATAGTAGATACTCCATACAAGATTTAGACTCTTGTCTTGCTTTTGGTAAACAGTACCAATGAGATTATAATCTCAAAAAAAGCAAACTGTAGCTGATTTTAATACTACTTTAAGACATTCTTTGAAAGTAAGTTCCAAAGGTTTTCTTTTTTCAAGCTGAACCCCAAAATTCGACACTGACTTTAGGATTGATTAGAACAAATTATGAAAGTGGTAATTTAAATACATAAACACCATAAAATCATTAAAGTTCTTTCCACTATTTTTTTCTGAGAAACATATATTTTTTTAAGTCTGTGGATTGATCAATAATGTGTGCCTACTAACCAAAAATAAAAGATAATAACGTTGGTGGGGGGGAGAGAGAGAGAGAGAGAGAGAGAGAGAGAGAGAGAGAGAGAGAGAGAGAGAGAGAGGAAGAGAGAGAGGAGAAAAGTAACTAGATCTTTTGTGTCTCTTCTCATAAGGGCACTAATTCCACCATGGAGGCTTCACCCTCATGACCTAATTACTTCCCAAAGGCCCCATCTCTAAATGTCATCACATTGGGTATTAGGGTTTCAACATATGAATTTTGGGGAGCCATAACATGCAGCAATAACAATACTTATGTGGCCACTCTGATACATAAAGTTAATGAAATTTGAGTAAGCACCTTTTAAAAATTGTTATTTTCAGAAACTCTTTAAAGTCTATTAGAAGAGCAAGATATGAGTGCTACCTTGTACCAAGGAATCAACTTAACCTTGTCTGTGAACCTTTCTATATCAATAAGATTTGCTTACTTGATAAACTTCAGGTGGTATTTATTGTTCCACTGAGTCCCTTTGCTGGCATCTTTTTTTCCGTATATATTCATCATGAAACTAAAAATATTTCTTTTTTTGCATCAGTTTTCTTGATCCAATCTTTTGACATGTCACAGATCAATTAAGAAAAGGATGCCCTCTTTGTTTTCATTCAGAGGATCTCTCAGGTTGGCAGAGGTTATGACATGACACACATTATAATATGAGAGACATTGATCTTAAACTTCCAGAGCCAACCTATTCATGGCAAGAGTCCTCCCGAGCTCATGACACTCTCCTCTTTAGTTTTTGGGTAACTTTGAAAAGTACAGTAAATCCTCGGTCACTCACATACCATTTGATACTTTATTATATTAGAGCAAGAGGTCCCCTTTTCAGGAAGCTCAATCTGATTTTGGACAAAATTATTGGAGGCTATTTGTTATTTACCTCCTAGAATTCCTTAAATAGTATTCTATACTAATTTTTAAAAATACGTAATTTAAGCTTTAGATTCAGCTAATATTTATTGGCACCTATTATGTCAAACACTGCTCTAGGAAGTTGTTACATATTTTGGAGCACTTCATTTTACCTTCACAACAAGCCTGGAAGAAAAGTATTCACCAAATTTTATAAATGACGACACTGAATCTCAGAGAAGTTAAGTGACCTGCTCTCATGAAAACATCTCTTGTCTTCTGAAATGGCCAAGACAAGAATAGGCAGAACTGTGTTGGTCTTGATAGTAACTGTTAATTGTCAGTTCAGTCCTCTCCTTGAAGATATATTAGAAATAAGAATGAATGAAAATAGTGTATTATTGTCCATCACGTGAGGCTATTAATGGGCCACTGCATTTTACGCAGGATAGAGACAGTCTCTCTTTTTCTGAAGCTCTGCTAGCTGAGCAAGCATGAACAGTTTTTATAAGGCTGAGCTACAGGATAAAAGAGAAGGAAAATAATGATGAGAATGCAGAAGTTTTTGATGTGCATTTAGTTGAATAACTAAACTTGATTAAGATAATGTTTAGTGTGTATATTGGTTGGAATTCAAGCTCAGCTATAATAAAGACCAAAATAACAGTGGCTTAAACAAGATAGCACTTTCTTTCTCTCTGTTAACAGCTGGAGCTGGGTAGTTCTGGGTGCTCTGGAGGCTTCCAGCCCAGGCACCAGAAGCCTATAGATAATGTCCCCAGACACCATGGTTTAATATTGGTTCCCAGTCTATCGTGATGCCTATTTAGAGATATTAAGATGAAGTTTAAAATTTCGTCACCCGGGCTTCCCTGGTGGCGCAGTGGTTGAGAGCCCGCCTGCCGATGCAGGGGACGCGGGTTCGTGCCCCGGTCCGGGAAGATCCCACATGCCGCGGAGCGACTGGGCCCGTGAGCCATGGCCGCTGAGCCTGCACGTCCGGAGCCTGTGCTCCGCATCGGGAGAGGCCACAACAGTGAGAGGCCCGCGTACAGAAAAAAAAAAAAAAAACTTTCATCACCCTTTTCTGATAGCTAATGATCCCTTGAGAATAAGTGAAATGCACAAAGTACAGTCAATTAAAGGGAGGCTAGGTATTGAAAGGCCTGGATGAGAAGACAGTGTGAGCAGTCCTAGCAGAAAAGCAGAACTGCTGTGAGTGATACGAGGTAAGGAATTTTCTACAGGGATTAGACATTGCATAATTGTGAGAGCTGCTGAGCAAGCAAAGGTCTGGTAGAGGGGACGGTTCGAGGCAAAACAGAAAGTCACTCACTAATCAGGGCTGCGAAGAAAAGCTGGTGGAGTCTGTGAAGCCTGTGGCTTCTGCATCTAGTTGCAGCCTGAAGTCTCTGCAGGTCAGCAGGGCTGGTGGCAGGAAAAGCTGGATGCAGAGCAGGGGCCAGCAAAGACAAGGGACCCTGCTAGGGCAAACTGGAATCCGTAAGAAGAACCTGGAAGCCACAGCTGTCTCTCACCATGTGGACTCTGATGGCGCAGAGGCCACCCGCGGAAAAACTGATGTCCTTCCCCACAGAGCCCTGCCCACGTGCCTGGCCTGGCACTTAGAGAAGTTGGAGGAGGAGGTCTGGGTACACTGGCTGCTCCCTGTGCCAACAAGGAGAACCGGCGGATCACAACACTGTGTACAACCTGCGCTGATGTCCAGGGCGCCAACCCCCCGAGCACA